GGCTCCCGGGGCGCCCGGCTCCCTGGACGTCCCCTGGGGCGCCGGCTCCTGCCGCCGCCTCCCGAGCCCCGGGCGACACTGGCGCTCGCGAGCTGGTCACCTGAGGACAATGTAGGGTGCAGACTGAGAGCCTCGCCTGTCCCCCGGGGCGAGCCCCCAGCCCCTCGCGCCCGCGTGGCCAGCTCCCCGGCGAAGGGGACCGCTGACGGCGCGCACACCCTGAGGCGCTGCGATTTGACTCTTTATTCGCAGCCCGCGTAGGGGAGCCCCGCGTGGGCTACGAGGAGGTGGGGAGGCCCAAAAGAATACAAAAGAAAGCTGTCCGCGGGGAGTAAAATACCCTTCGGTAGCCGCTGAGCCGCGGGCGGGGGTGGCGCTGAGGCAGGAGCGTCCCAGACTATTCGAGGCCAGCTAGGCTGCGTAATCCCCGTCAGTCCGGACTACGCAGCCGGCCCCAGTCTCCAAAACAAAATACGACGGAAAGCTTGACAAATCGTGCTAACGCTGGCTTGCATGCGTGTGCAGTGTATATACAGTTTATGGTGGAGTACACCTGGACGTGGAGACTTCCCGGCGGAGGTGGGGTGGTGGAATTCCAGAGCAGGACCCCAGAAGCTCCCCGCAGGCCACGAACAGCAGGAAGGACCCGGTTGCTCCACGTCAAGTGAGATTCCAGCCTTTGCCTTAGGATGTGCATGTGAAGCCTGCAGGGAGCTCTGGATTTGTTGTTTGATTTGCCTTTTTTTGAGCCGGCTTCCCTGTGTAGTTCAAGCTGGCTGGAACTCTTGGTGATCCTCCTGCCTCAGCCTCCCAAGTGCTGGGATCACAATGTGTGCCACTACACCTGACATTGAACAGACTAAACTGGGAGGTTTAGTTTTGGGGGCTTTTTTGTTTGTTTTTGAGACAGGCTCTTGCTATGCAGTTCAGGCTGATCTTGAACTTACTGTGTAGCCCAGGCTGGCCTCAAACTCATGACAGTACTCCTGCCTCGGCCTGCCAAGTGCTGGGATTACAGGTGTGTGCCACTATGCCCAGTTTAAATTGGGAGATGTTCATACCCACGTAAAGCAGGCATTCATGGTCAGCTCAGCAGCCCCTCAGGAGAACCTACTTGATACACACATTTAACCTGTTTCCCAGACTGAGCTTCATTCCTTGGAACCAGGAAGGGGCTGGGCATGTATTCTAGTTTGTAGAAAAGCCATTACCATGAGAGGAATAGCATTTATTTACATAGCAGCAGGGCACCAGGTGTGGTGGCCCAGGCCTAGAATCCCACAGCTCTGGAAGCTGAGGCAGAAGAATCACCACAAGTTCAAGGCCAGCCTGACCTGCATAGGGAGACCCTGCATCAAAAAGACCACACATACCTAAGAAATAGCAGCAGGACATCTGAGTCAGACAAACTTCCCTTCCCCTAAGCTGGGTAGGCACAGTGCTTGGGGAGCTGGGCTCAGCTCTGTCCCTGTCACCTGGTCACACTTCTCAGCTTCCTCACTCAGTAGCCTGAGGAAGGCCTAGGAGATATGAAACAGAGCTCTGGGTATCAGGGGTTGTGGGTTGGGCCCCGAGGACTGGGGCTGCCCCCTTATCCGGCTTGCCTGCCCTGTGTCCTGGGAGGCCCAGGCTCTCCCACCTTGAAATCCTGCCTTGGGCCAGCTACCCACAGGCAGAAACTTCCAGAACCCGTGATCCAGAGTAACTCCTTTGTCCTGTAGCTTGTCCCAGAATCGGGAAGGACTGATGGAGAGACCATTGTAAAATCTCCAACATCCTGAGAGCCTGTGGCCCCAGGTTCAGTGAAATAGCTGGGCCTTTTCTTCCTAATTTTTGAGAGGTCTCCCAATAGCTCGAGTAGTAGCTGAACCCAACATACTTTTTTTTTGGTACCAGGAATCGAACTCAGGACCTTGTGCTTGCCAGATAGGCGCTTATGCTGCTGAGCTACATCCCTGGCGCAACATACTTTAAAGATGAGAAAATCAAACATCTCCTCTGGCAAGGAGGCTGCCAATTTGAATGCAAGTCAAGCGCATCACACGAGACCTCCAGGTGCAGCCCTCTGGACCTCTGCTCGAGCTTGGTCAAAGTCTGAAGCGATCTTGCTGGATTCTTGGAAAAACCACCAATCCCAAACCTCTGAATTTTGGTTAGCAAAAACTAAGAGCGTATAGAGCTATGCCTGGCTCTGAATGAGGGAACAAAACCAGATGACACCGCACTGGGGCTGCCTTCTGATGTTCAACCTCAGAGCAGAGTTCATGGGGGAAACCGGTTCAGTTTATTTTTTTATTCTGTTTATTTACTTATTTACTGTCTTTTGGATCGTGCTGGAATCACTGCCACAAATATGAATGGAACTCTGTAGCCCAAATGTGAGGGCCAAGGTGTGATTTTTTTTTTAAGCAGGTCCAAGAGGAACAAGCAGCAGGACAAACCAGGTAGCAGTGCAGGAATGAAGTCAGAGCCCACACAGGAGGGCTTGGCGTTGCAGGGGAAGCCAGGGAAAGAAGCCGGGAGGTGTGGGAAGATGAGCCACAGCCCGTGCGCAGGGAAGGAGGCTGCACAGGATCGAGGAGCTCTCCTGCCTGCTGCTGAAGCATAGCCTCGAGCAGGGCCAGCAGGGAAAGCAGATGCATTTCTCTCAGACTGAAAACTGGGCCGAAGGCGAAGGACGCATGGAAGTACAGCCAGGTGCAGTGGCACATATGTATGATCCCAGCCCTCCAGGGGCTGAGGCAAGAGGATGACGAGGTTGAACCCAGCCTGGGCAGTTCAGCGAGATTTAGTGAGACCCTGTATTAAAAAAATTTTTTTTGTTGTTTTTTTTTTTGAGACTGGGTCTTGCTGTGTAGTTGAGACTGGCCTTAAACTCACTAACTAGCCCAGTCTGGCCTTGAACTCATAGCCATCCTCCTGCCTCAGCCTCCTGAGTGCTGCAATTACAGGCATGTGCCACCATACCCAGCCCTATCTCAAAATTTAAAAATGAAGAGGTGGCTAGGGATATAGTTCAGTGCATGTGAAGGTCCTGGGTCCAATCCCCAGTACCGTAAAAACAAACCCAACACACTAAAGTACAAAAGCTTAAACAGATGTGGTGGCACACACCCATAATCCCAGCACTAGGGAGGCTGAGGCAGGAAAATCACCATGAGATTGAGGCCAGCCTGAACTATATCTTGAGAACCTGCCTCAAAATCAACAACACACAAAAACAAAGGTTTAAAAAACTAAAATTCAATTTAAAAGCATGTTTTTATGATGCTACTACTCCTGTTTGTCTGTAAAGACGACACTGACCAGTGGAGCATCTTGAAAGACTCACACACCTCATGAGCTGTAGAATGAGGGAAGGTCAGGAGCTGGCCCTCGAGGGTTAACCTCAGGGTTAACCTGAGCAGCCCAAGAGACACCAGGGACAGTTCTGAGTGTCTGGGAGATTCA